TCCTCAAGCAAGGCCAGCATCTAATTCCCAGCAAGCCTCCAAATCCATAGATCAGTTACTGAGCCTGTCTTGCAGAAATCTGGGGGAAATCCAGGTTGTCAGTTAACACCAAGGTCGCCATCTCCCACTGATCTCAGGAGGCATCTATCATCCCCTCACTTCTCAACAGGCGTCACAAGAGTTACCTGCCGAATGTGACTTGGGTTCTGACTGGTGACTGCAATGGCAGCTGTCACTCAAACCAACGTGGGTGAGAGAGTCCTTAAAAGTGAACTGTGGGGTGCAAGCCTTTGTCCTTGTTCCTCAGATCAGGGCCCACTGGTCTCGCTGCTAGCCTCTGGGTCCCCTATTTATCACTGACCATCAGGAAATGTGCAGCTCATTGTCCTTGCTGTTTTACTCTTAGGGAGTAAAGAGTCCAGAATGTTGTGTTGTAAATAAACAGCTTGGGATCAATCAGATTTGAACCACAGAGCTCCTTTTGCTTCAGAATTTTGATTTGTCCACTCCCATCCTCCTTTCTCTTTTATTCTTAATAAAACTGCATGTGATTTTGGTTACTGGGGTCTCTTAAAGAATTCAATGCAGTTTGGGTTTTTTTAAGGTTCTTGATGTTATAACTGTGTCTTGCCCACCTACACTTCATCATCATCACCATCACTTTTGAGGGCAGGTTTCATCTCAGTTCTATTGTCACTGCTCTATTTCGCACCTCCAACCTGGCTGAATGTGTGTCCTTGAACTGTGCAAACGCCTGTTACTTGCCTGGATGGAGGACCCAGAAAGAAGCTAGCCTAGTGTACTAAGGCCCACCACCAACTAAGGCCCACCACCAGCATGTGGCCCTTGGAAGGTCGTCCAAAGGGAAATATAGCCCTTGGTCTGCAAATTTCCACCCACCTGCTGCGTTCATGTATCTCCTTTCTCGGGACGTAATGTGACCACTACAGCTGAGTTCATGCGCTCTACAACTACAAAGCCCTTGCAGCTCTGTAACATCATTTTTGTGATGGAGCCTGAGGAATTATATGCAAAAATATCCTTCTAGCCCCTGGACCACAGGGGCTGGAGACCAGAGTGAGAACACTTGGCTACTCTCTGATCTTAATACATTCAACCAGCTGCCATGCGCTTGTCTCTATATTATGCAACGCTATCCGGCCGCCTGATCCAGGGAAAGCCCCTTTGCCTAAAGATCTCCGTTCCCAAACACACGTCCCTGCTCCTTCCCTTTGCCTTGCCCTCTACATTCATGATGCGTCTTCTCGAGTTCTTTCCCCGCCTTTCCTTAGTCCTCCAGCTATGTTCTCATTCTAGGCCGCACTCGCACATGAATAAGTAACTGTTCCACAGGCAGATATCTCAGTGTTTGCACTTGTCTTTAGAAATCAAAGGCTTCTCTGATTAAATGCCATTACAGTCCGGCGCTCGGACGGATCCAGGGAGATTAATGTGCTTTTGGGCAGCTTTAATGATAATCCCGCTACAGACGGCATTAAGTAAATGTCAGTAACCTGGTTTGAAGGGAGCTTTCACCTCAGGGATCCTTTCCATTTAGAGGAGAGAGGCTCAGCCTGCTTTTTTCAAGGCTGTGTTGCTCTACAAAAGAAAGCCTGCTTAGCACAGATTCCTCTGAGCCCCTCCCAGCAAAAAAAATAAATGGCAAGGCTTCTTTCAGGGGAAAGTGAGGTGGCATGCTTGCCATTGTGGGTCCACAGAGAGACTGCAGATCAGTGCTAGAACATAGAGGAGGCTCCGTGTTTAATCCCCAGCATACTCAGTGTCTGTTTTTGTTCTTTAAAAAAAGAGAACAAAATAGCACTCAGCAGGGCTGAGAAAGACTTAAGGGACTAACTGCAAGGCAGAGTAGGCATTGCTGGGTGGAAGGGAATGTTCTGAGCCAGTAAAAGGGACTTTCATATATTTATATGAGGTAGCAAAGCTGAGAAAAACTGAGAGCTTTGAAAGCATATGAAATTGCTTTACACAGAGACAAGCCCAGCACACCCCACTCTGATTGGCAGCAGCTCTCCAAGACCCCAGGAAGAGTTTTTCTCCAGGCTGAGATCTCTTTGGTTTTTTGGTGGTAGACCTGATCGAGAAAGGTGTCTTATAAATAAATGCTGTAGACAAAGCATGCGATCTACCACTGAGTGATAGCTGAGGCCCACTTTTATAGATTGGCCACACCACTAACTCTCGCTCTCTCCCCTCTATATATTTATACATATTAAGCTTATTTAAGGGTGTGGGTGTGCATGTGTGGAAAAACAGTACACACATAAATACACACAGCTCATATTATTAACAGGTAGGCTATGCCGTTCACAGACGAACCTTCCCCACAAATATTTCCTAAAGAATGTAAGAATATCCCTACTGGAGGGAGATTGACTCCCTAGAAATTAATAAAACAATGATCAACATCCTATACTCAAAAGAACGATTTTACGAGTATGAAGGAGAAAACTCCAGACTATTAGCGAACAGGTGCAGGAAAAAAATCACTTAAAACAAGAAAACACTGCATTACTAAAAAAAGATGGAAACACAATTAATCATTTGCGAAATTTTACTCTAATCTATACCCCTCCCAGAACCCATCTGAGCAAGAAATCAAAAGTTTTAGCAGGACTATCTGTGCCAATTTTAACTGCAGATGAATGAGAATTCATGGACAGTCCTATCATCCCAGAGGAATTAGAAATGGTCCTCAAAAATCTGAAACCTTACATAGTCCCAGTTGCTTTTCACAGCAGAATTCTATAAAAAAAATTCACGGAAACCCTGGTGCCCTACATGACTTGCCTATTTAATGACATGACATCATCCCCCAAACCTGGCCCTCCTCCAAAATAGTCTCTATCCCAAAACCATTCAAAGATAGCCTCATAGTAGAAGCAAACTCACTGATAAATCAGGACTGCAAGATATTCACACCCATCCTGGCTAATCGCCATAAAGCCTTCTTTTACAAACTAATAGCCCCAGACCAAGCTGGCTTTGTCCCTGGCTGCAACATAACGGATCCCATCAGGAAGTTACTGAATCTGATCAATCATAGCAAAACAACTAAAAACTCACTGACAATTATATCCCTCAATATACTTAAAGCCTTTGATTGCTTAGAATGGAAATACCTTCTAGCAGTATTAACCAGTATGAATTTCGATCCCTCTGTACGACAAACCCTCAAACAAATTTACTCCCAAGCCTCAGCTAAATGCAAAAACAACAATATGGGACCATCACAATCCAAAAGACAGAAAACAAGGATGCCCACTCTCCCTTTCTATTCATCCTGGTCCTGGAAGCCTTAACAATTTGACTCCGGGCAGCCCCTAATATTAAGGGTGTGGAATTAAAATTGAAACAAATAAATTAGGGCGCTTTGCAGACGACCTGATGATCACGACACCAGACCCCATTATAAAAGCAACCACACTGATCAAAGAACTCAGTACTTTTGCAATGGTATCAGGCCTTCAGGTGAACTTTGCTAAATCTGAGGCAATGTGCTTCAACACTCCCTCTCATATCCAAAAAGGATTCACTAACATCACAAAGATAAAACTCTGCCATACAAAATTAAGATACTTGGGGGTACAAATAACCAGTAACCTTAACAAATTATACCTCCAAAATTGCAAGCCTCTCCAGCGACAAAGCAAGAAAGACCTGAGAAGATGGAATAAATCTAACTTTACTCTCTCAGATAAAATAGCCATGTAAATATCAAGGCCCTCTGCATAGTGTGAGACAATATGTCTTCCCATGTTGTCAGTGAGTGCTTTTGCCTTCCCTGCAACAGTGTCCCCAAGTGACTGGCTCTCCTTTACTACACAGGAATGAACAGCAAACATGTATTCGGAAGGGAAAGTGCCGCACTCAGGGTCAACATAAAGGTTGGTGCTGGATCTGCTCCCTGGCCCTTGGTGAACTCAATGACAGCAGACACAGAGACCCAAGTCTACTCTTCTCTGCACAGTCCTGCCCCTTCATTTGCATAGCCCCATCAAACAGTTCGCATGGTAGGGTTTCTTGGTCACACCAAAATGTGACAGGAATGCTAGGAACTGTTATATACAGTGCATCTAAATGATAGCTTTGGAAGCATAGGAAGGCAATGAGGCAATGGTTCTAAGTACTAATTTCCCTTCATGCTACTGGCAATTAGTGCATTAATGTGATTTGTGTGAGCTTACTTACATCTGTGAGCAATTCCTTCTAGTGGGAAGTAGGAGAATAAAGACATAACCTCTTGGAGGGCAATGAACACATGACTATATCCCCCCCCCCCCGGATATATTTTGGAATGTCTATAATTGACGTGGAGTGAACTCTGCCACAGAATAAAAAAAGATGAGAGGAGGGAGCGTCCAGACTCCGGAGACAGGCGGACAGACAGATTAAGTACAATTGATTTTGTGCCGGAGCTCTTTGATAGCTAGTCAACCAAATGGCATTTCGACACTCATCAATAGCACACAGGGGGGAAAGTAGGCAGCAGTGATTCAATCAGAATTCACTGACTTGGAGGAAGGCAAGGATGGCAGGCTGAACCTGCCCAGTTCTTGCAAATAAAGACTAGGTTCCTTTCCCATCGGACACAAACACTTTAATCCCCCAAAAGCCAGCTATGTGCACCCAGTACACAGGAATCATTTCACCAGGCAATGAAATATGACCACATCTGGAACAGACTATGACATCTCTAAGCACACATCTTTCCTTTAGGAAATAAATTAAAAGAAAGAACGGGGACTTATTAACAAAGCATGGAACTGTATGTAAAGCTGTGCTGAAACTGCACTCATTTCATTTTGTGGGCCAAAAATAGTGCTTTTGTGGACTGCAGAAAGGGTTCCTACATCTTTTGTTTTTATTGCTATCACATTCTAAATTGTTTAATGTGAAATGTTTAAGGAATGGCCGATAAATACCAGATGGATGGATGGGTAGATAGAAAGACGGACAGATCTGGACAGAGGGAACATTACCTCATTGACATTGATGCAATTTCTCTCCATGTAGGCCTTGTCATTCACCTGCCCACCTTCCATGAACTCCATGAAAAGAACACGCTTTGTTGAGAGCTCCCAATAAATCTTAGGGATCTGAAAAAAGAATACAACTCTCTGAACACCGTGTGATTAAGGGGAACAGAAGAGAAAGTGTATATGCATGAAGTGCCAAGAAGTAGGAGAAATGAGCTCATCCAAGTCCTCGAAGGAAGAACACACAAAACTTTTGACAAAGGCCTTATCATAACTTGACATAAGTAAGCGCTCAGGGCAGGCCCTACCATTAAGCAGAGGGAGGCTGCTACCTCAGGCAGCTGATACAGAGAGAGACAGGGAAGTAATGGAGGACAGAATTCTGTGTTCCTTCCAAGCAACCTGCCCTGCATACCTTAAACTAGCCTGCTGCCCTCAAACGTAGTAGAGGACACTGTCTCATCACCCACATTGAAACAAGAATCAACAGCTAGACAGCTTGTACGCATGGAAATGAGGGGTGCCATCTTGTCCTTTGCCTCAAGCAGCAAAATGTCTTAGGCCACCTTTGTAAGTTCTCCATCTTGGTCCTGGCACCATCATTTCAGTGTGTGTGTGTGTGTGTGTGTGTGTGTCTGAATGTGTCAGAAAGCATATGGTTGGAATGATTATGAAAGCCAAAATGTGAGGAAAGGGTTGAAATCTTGGGGTGTCCTTTTAGTCTCTGTGAATCAGGTTTCCTTACTCTATCGGCTCTGTAAAATAAAGGCCAGCATTCTGTTTCTTGTAGGAGCCAGCCAACCACCTTACAGACCAAAACCCAAATGATAAATAAGAGACACAGTGGAAAGGTCCCAGAATTCTGCAGACTCATGCTTTAGAGGAAAAGCAGAGCATATTGCGTTTTTTCTTTAAGCGGCCCAGAAGCAGAGTCAGTGATTTCTATGCCAGTTCAAGCAAACTGGATCTTTCTGGTTTTCAAATGGAGCAAACTTGCCTGACTAACTTTTCCGCAATGCAATGCTAGCTGAACTACCGGTAACTTCCGGTAAACGTAACATTCTGCTTGCTTAACAGACAGATGCAACTCAATCTTCAAACTTAGCTGGGTGAGATCCAGCTAAGTATAATGGTAAGTAAATCCACTGAAAATAGCGAGCTAAAGTCCACTGATCTCAAGTTGACATTGTTGACATTGGTTATAAGCCTCTGAGCACTAAGGAAGTATTTCACACAGCACACAGCTAAACTATGGAATCTGCTCCCACAAGAGCAGTGGCAGACCTTGGGGTCTCAAATTTCAGCGGCGCCCTGTGTGATGCCAATATTCAGTGCCCCCATGCCTATCGCACCCATTCTAAGTAACAGTTATGGCATCCCAAGTGGTGCCCCCAAGGCTGTGCACCCAGTGCAACCAAACTGGCTGTGCTCCCCTAAATTTGCCACTGATAAGAGGCTGTGATGGCCACAACCTTGGATGGTTTTATTAAGATGAGACTCATTCATGGAGGAGAAAGCTACCAGTGGCTACTTATGTTCCTACTTCCACAGCTGGAGGCAGTATGCTTCTGAATACCAGTTGATGGCTGCAGGAGGGGAGAGTCCTGCTGTGTTCAGGTCCTGCTTCTGAGCTTCTGATAGGCATCTAGTTGGCCACTGTGAGAACAGGATGCTGGACCAGATGGACAATGGCCTGATCCAGCAGGCTCTTCTTCTATGTCCTTATGCATAAGTCAGAGCTTGGTAGTAGAGCAAATGCTTTGTGTGCAAAAGATCCCTGGTTCAATCCCTGTAACTTCCAAGTAAGTCACAGGAAAAATCCTGTCTGAAACCCTGAAGAGCGACGGCTAGTCAATGTAAACAATACTGACTGACCAATGGTTTCATTCAATTTAAGGCATTTTTATATGTTCACATACTTATTATACAAGTGTGCCTGCATTCACCTGAGGAAATGGCATTATCAAAGACCTGCAAATGTGTGTCTGAACATGTCATGAATCTGCAGCGACCTGTGCACCTAGCATGGTGAATGTGTAACCCTTTTCAGGTTGTTTGACCAAACTGCGGGAGGCAGCAGAAGACAGGAGTGCCTGGCGTGCTCTGGTCCATGGAGTCACGAAGAGTTGGACATGACTAAACAGAGGGACGCGGGGCTTGCCGATCAGAAGGTCGGCGGTTCAAATCCCTGCAACTGGGTGAGCTCCCGTTGCTCGGTCTCAGCTCCTGCCAACCTAGCAGTTCGAAAGCATGTCAAAGTGCAAGTAGATAAATAGGTAAACAGTGTTTCCATGCGCTGCTCTGGTTCACCAGAAGTGGCTTAGTCATGCTGGTCACATGCTGTACACCGGCTCCCTCAGCCAATAAAGCAAGATGAGCGCCGCAACCCCAGAGTTGTCTGCGACTGGACCTAATGGTCAGGGGTCCCTTTACCTTTACCTTTAAATGACTAAACAACAACAACTTGTTGCATATGTCTGAATTGCAGAAACCACCGTCCAGGGGAGAGCCCACATCTATTGTTTGTTATGCACAGTGCACACATAGCATTGTTCTGTCAGTAATAAATAATCCTAATCTGTATTTCAGCAGCGTCCCTCTGAGCACAGATGCAGCCAGGCTGACAAGACCCATGCACAGGCCTCCAGGCTATCACATCAGCTATTGGCAGGGGGGGTAGTGCCTCATAAATAGGAGGATCCTTGCAAAAATCCTGAGAGAGTCCCTTCCTGCATACAGAGCACCATTTTCAGTCGCGGCATCTTCCATTTCATCTGCCTGTCAGGACTCAAGTGAGATCAGACCTGCAAGCAGCTCAATGGATGGGCCAGAGACTCCTGGAGATGGCAGCTGAAGGGGCCAGAGGTAAGCAAGATAGTCTGAGGCAGGCAAGTGGACAAAGCCCAAAGGGAAGAACCACATGTCTGAAGGCCCTGAGGCATGCAATGTAATCTGATAAAAGCAAGCAAGAAACAAAGGTCCAGTTGTCAGCAATGAAGGAGAAGAAAAGGCATGGCAAGGTGAGTTTAGATTGGCACAGAGCATAAGGCACCTGGGCCTAGCTGCTAGAATCCCTTTCTTTGAGTCTTACACCGCCTTCCATAAACCTATGTGCTAACTGATCTTCATTCCTGGTCTTTCTATCAGGTGCATCTAACAGCTGTCTTCCAACCACTGTTGGCCAATTACTGATTATCTCCCCCTGGTGTTTTTTCATCTTCTTACTGTGGTTTTCCAACTACCGGTACTCCCATCACAGCACCAGTTGGGTAAAGAACAGGAAGTAGAAAATTGAGAGAAAGAGATGTCTCAACTACTTTGCTCTGCTTACTGGAACTTATTTATGAAGTGAAAGAATGAATGAACAAAATCTTGGTGAATTTAATGCTCCTTACTCCCAGGTAAATGTGTACAAAATTGTAGGCTGAATCCTATACACCAGGGTTGGCTAACCTATAGCTCTCCAGAAGTTTAGGACTACAACTCCAATCATCCCTCACCATCAGCCATGCTGCCTGGGACTGGCGGGAGCTAGACTCTAACAACATCAGGTGAGCCAAAGGTTAGTTACTCCAACTATACACATACACTTGCCTGTTAAAATAATCAGGTACGTTTGGGATTGAGAGAACTATATTTCAATGCCCCACTCCAACTTCTTTTTCATGCAGAGTGGGGAGCCTCTGCCCTGGAAAAAAACATAGCTCCAAAATTACAGAAATTTCCATTTCTGTGCCACTGCCCCTTAGTCTGGGTTTGCAAACTCACTTTCTCAAGGGCTACAGAACTACAGCACTTTTCACCTTCTCTCAGACTATGGCACATTGCAGAATACTTGCTGAAGCCATGCATGCAAAATGAAAGGAAGGTACCTAAAGCTGTAGCCCTGTTCAGAAGAAGAGCCTGCTGGATCAGGCCAATGCCCCACCTGTTCTCCCAGGTGCCCGTGGTTAACAAGCAAGCAGGATTTGAGCACAAGAGAACTGGCTACTCTGTGGTTTCTGGCAACTGGTATTCAGCAGCACTGATGCCTCCAACTGTGGAGGCAGAGCATAGCAATTGTGGCTAGTTGCCATTGATAGCACACTGATTCCCAGCTTCCCCAGCCCCTGCTGTTACCATGTGCTGGCTCTTAAATCCACTGATCCCAAAGCCTGTAGCTTATTTTAACCCTGCGTCAACGTTTATCCCCATTCCAAAATTTACAGCAGCAGTCAATGGTCCTTATTAAGCTGTGCATAAGTCTCACTCACACAAAGTCATAGTCCTTGGCAAGCTTAAATGATGCACAGACATTTGGCCTTAATGCTTGCACATGGAAACAATTTATCTCTGGCTTTACAACCTCAACTGGGTTCATGATAAGAAATCCACTTCCCTGCTGCGCTATGGGTGTTGTTGTTGGGTTTTTTTAACTCTGGGGGTAGGGGGAATTACCAGGAAACAACTCCCTTGTTGCCTTTGGGGTTGATGAAAACGTCTTGGAATCGACGGGTTGGACAGGGGAAATCTATTATTTAGCCATTTTTGCAGCAATTTGTTATTATTCCCTGAATCGATATTGCAGTGGCTCTTTAACCCAGAGAGGATGTGATTGGCTGTCTCCATGGGGATTTGCTCCACACTCTCTTACTTGTTACAGCAGCAGCAGAGCTGCTCTCCAAGGCGCAACACTCTTGATAAACATTCGCTTAGAACAAGCCATCAGCCTTTGGCCTTTTGTGCCCTTTTAAGGCCTGTTTGCTTAGCATTACACATGGAAGAATCATTGCAGAGCGTCGCTGGGCTGCAATCAAGTTTTGAAAGAGCTGGCATCTGTTTGGCCACCATGAGAACAGGACGTTGGACTGGATGGGCCAGCGGCCTGATTCATTAGGCTCCTCTTACATTCATGGGGCTCTGAATGTATGAGCAAGGCTTTTGCCTAATGTTTTTTGAGAGAAACAAAAGGGTAGCAGCAAATTGCACAAGTGCTTATGTAGGCAAAGACACACCTGCATAAGTGTGCCTGTTTGCAATAGCAGGTATGTGTACATGTGTCAATGAATGTACACAAAAGCAGAGGGGGAACACACACAGCACAGAGGGAGCAGCCTGGCTCATACAATGTAGGAGCTGCAACACTGCTCCTGTGCAGGGACCTACAATCATTTATGAAGGCATGAACCTGGCAAGTGCACAGACCACTACAGGTCTATGTGCAGGAGCAATGTGGCAGCATCAGTATATGAGCACTCTACAAAGTTGGCCATTTCTCAGCAATGGCAGCTGAGGAAATTCAGCCACTATCTTCACACATGCAAATCTATGTATTGGATTATACCTATGGTAGCAGTATACTCATATTAGTGTGCACATGGCAACCATGTGTGATTGCACTGGCCTAGATTGCTATAGGGGAGTGTGTGTGTGTGTGTGTGTGTGTGTGTATGCACACAGATAAGAAGAGTCCCAGTGGGTCAGAGCAAAGCCCATTTAGTCTCACAGCAGTCAACCAAAGGCGGACGATGGGGATGATTTAATCTCTATACCCCTGACATGCCAAAATGCCTTCTAAGCCGTTTGCAACAATAAAACTAGGATGCCAAAATGGCAGGCCCAAAAGCAGGACATGAGTGGGACAGCACTCTCCCAACTTGCGATTTCCAGCAACTGCTATTCAAATGCCTACCTCACAGAGATACACTACTGAGAAATTATTAAGGAATACAACCCCTGCTCTTACTTTTATTTCAGTTCCTTTCCATTGTTGTAATGAAATAATGAAAGGGGACTTCTAATGGCCTAGTACAGTGGTACCTCTGGTTATGAACGCTTCAGGTTACGAGCTCTGCCAACCTGGAAGTAGCTGCTCCTGGTTGTGAACTTTGTCCCAGGATGCGAATGGAAATTGCGCACCAGAGGCGCGTTCTCAGAACGGACCTCTGGAATGAATTAAGTTCGTCACCAGAGGTACCACTGTAGTTGATAAGAATAAATTCAGAGTGTGGGGGGACGACTTGAAATCTGTCCTAAGGAGCAGCAACAAGCCCTAAGATGATTATTAGCTTTGATTCCCTATCTTTCAACCCTGCAAAGAAATCTTGAACTGTTCAGAATGGTAGATCCCCACCCTCACCCCCAGCTGATCCTGGCAATGGACATCAAAGGAGATCAGGACACTGTCAATGCCAGCCATGCAACTGGCTTTCTGCTGAAAAGAGCAAAAAGGATATTTGCTTCTCGAAGGATCTCCTTCCCCCTCTGGTTTAGAACTATAATAATAAAAGTAGTACTAAACCAAGGGTTCAGGAAACTTCCAGTGAAGCATGCCCTTAGCAGCATGACCAACTGTGGCATCAGACATTATTTCCTTACAGTGCCAAGCGGTAGCCTCAGCAAAGCAGCAGCAGCAGCAGGATAGGGATGTCTCCATTTTGTTGTTGTTGTTTTAAACTTATTCTGAGTTCTAACAAAATGGTTATGATGCTCCTTCCTAGTATCCACACTGCCAGGCTTATAACGTCAGGTCCTGAGACTGATTCTGAATTGCTGGCTGCCACCCCAGAATGCTCTCAGCCTGAATATTCAGGCAGCAGTCAGGCAATTCAAGAGAACGTTCTGTGCATCAAGAGGCCACCCATTGCTCTAGAACTCAGTTTTCCTGGAGGACCGAGTTTACGTGGAGCTGTTGTACCAAGGCTGAAATAATCGTTCAGCACAGAAATTACTGAGCTGTGCAGAGAATAGTGTCCCAGCTGTGTTCTTTGCCATTTCTGCTGAGGCGCCCAAAACTAGTCATTAAAAATTACTACCTCTTTCTTCCTCCAGGCAGTGCCTGCAGGACCAATGTAAGACACACACACACACCCTTCCCTGCTATTCTGGTGAGGGCCAATGATATCCCTACGATATCTAATTCAGCAGCATCAGCAGAATTACATTCACTTTCGATACCCCACCCACACACCCCCAATAGCAAAGTAAAAGCAACACTGCCCCCGCTGAACGCCAGTCTTACACTCACTCATAAGACTGCATGCAGATTGCATGTGCACCCATTACCTTTAGAAAGTCAAACTTTCTGAGCATGTGGGCCACCTTCTCAGCATTCCTCCCTTCGTTCAGGAAGTCCAGCTCAAGAGGCAAGTTCTTTTTAGATTCTTCAACTAACCACATGAATTCAAAGTCTGGGAAGATTTGCTTCACGGCTGAGACAAGGACCTAGAACCAAGTAGTCACATTGTAAGTTTCCAAAAGGATCCTGAACCACATTGCAGTACCAGGCAGCAACAAGAAGCCAACACTGAAGGTCAAGCTAGGTCATGATGGGAGAAGTTCGATGTGGGGAGTGGCTTCTAATTTCTCAGTGATAGGGGTGTGCATGTGAAGGGGGCTTAAGCCACAGTTTACCTCCCTGAGCACTATTCTCCTCTCCGGTGAGCTCCAATGACAGAAGTGGCTTCAGATGACTGGAAAAGCGGTGCCTAAGCTGTGCAAAAAGCTCTAGTGTCGAAGCAGCCCATCTAATAAAAATGATGATTGATGGAGTAGAGGTGGGTAGAAAAAGAGGTATGTGGATTTACTATCGTGTTTTAATGCACAGTTGGGGAATCTCAGGCCCAGGGCCCAAATGTGGCCTTCAAGGCTGCCGTGTTTGACCCTTGAAAGTTTCTCCAGGCCACAGCCCTCACTGGCCCTGCATCACACCCTGAGTGTTTTCACCTGGGTGAAAACTCTGATAATGCCGTGACAAGTTTGGAATTGGACGGAAAAATTATCCACAAACCAAATGAGATAAGCAATTGCTTTCAAAGTTTCTTTAGGAAATTATATGCACAAGGGCCAGTTAATGAGCAGGAAATAGAAGAATTTATTAAGAAGTATGGATTACCAAAGATCTCAGATCAAAGTAAAATGATCCTGAATGAGAAAATAACAGGACAAGAAATAGAGGGTGCCATTCAGAATATGCAATTGGGAAAATCTCCAGGACCAGATGGCTTGACGGCTAGATACTACAAGGCACTGAAGGAATGGATAATACAACCATTGAAGGAGGTCTGTAATGAAATTTTGGAAGGGAAAAAGGCACCCGAATCGTGGAAAGAAGCTTTTATTTCACTTATACCGAAAACAGAGACTGAAAAGAACCAGGTTAAAAACTACCACCCTATATCATTACTTAATGTGGATTATAAAATCTTTGCAGACATTTTAGCAAAAAGACTGAAGAGAGTGTTGATAGGGGAGATTCACAAGGACCAAACAGGCTTTCTTCCAGGGAGACATATGTCGGACAATGTGAGGAACATTATAGACATTTTGGAACTGTTGGAAGTGAACATTAATAGAAAGGTGGTGTTAATTTTTGTGGATGCGGAGAAAGCCTTTGATAATATTTGTTGGACCTTTATGAAGAAGAATCTCCAAGGGATGGGGGTAGGCCAAGGTTTTGAAAATGGTATAGGTGCTATATACTCTAAGCAAAAAGCAAAGTTGATTGTGAACAATGTGGTTACGGAAGAAATACCTATAGAAAAAGGTACACGACAGGGATGCCCAATATCCCCTTTACTTTTTATAACAGTCCTGGAGGTTTTGTTAAACATGATTAGAGGGGACCAATTGGTTAAAGGAGTTCAGGTCGGAGCCAGAAATTACAAACTAAGGGCATTTGCAGATGACCTAGTATTGACTTTGCAACAGCCAGATACTAGTACCAAAAGAGTATTAGAATTAATTGAGATATTTGGTCAAGTAGCAGGATTTAAACTGAACAAACAAAAAACTAAAGTGTTGGAGAAAAATCTAACAATGGCAGAAAAAGAGAAGTTTCAGAGTGAAACAGGTTTAGTAATAACAAAAAAGGTGAAGTACCTGGGTGTGAACTTGACTTCTAAAAATGTGAATTTATTTAAAGACAATTATGACAAATGTTGGACAGAAGTGAAGAAAGATCTAGAAACATGGTCAAGGTTGAAACTTTCCTTGTTAGGCCGAATTGCTGTCATTAAGATGAATGTATTGCCTAGAATGTTGTTTTTATTCCAGACACTCCAGATCTTGGACAAGATGGACTGTTTCAAGAGGTGGCAAAAAGACATATCCAAGTTTGTCTGGCAGGGCAAAAAACCCAGAATAAACTTTAAGATTTTAACCGATGCAAAAGATAGAGGGGGGTTTGCCCTGCCGGACCTGAGACTTTATTATGAATCGGCAGCGTTCTGCTGGTTGAAACAATGGCTGCTTCTTGAGAACACAGACATTTTGGATCTGGAAGGGTATGACAATAGATTTGGTTGGCATGCATATATATGGTATGACAAGGTAAAATTACATAAAGGTTTCAAAAACCATATTGTTAGGAAAGCACTATACAATGTTTGGATAAGATACAAAGATCTACTGGAAAGTAAAACTCCCAGGTGGCTATCACCAATGGAAGCTAAAGAGATAAAAAAACTTAATATGGAGTCCAAATGGCCAAAATATTGTGAAATCTTAGAACAAGATGGTGAAAAGGTTAAATTACAGAGTTATGACAAATTAAAGTCTAAAGTACGAGATTGGTTGCATTACCTTCAGATAAACGAGGTATTTAAACAGGACAGAAAAATAGGCTTTCAGATGGAGAGGTCGAAATTAGAAACAGAATTGTTAGAACCCAATACTAAGAACTTGTCAAGAATGTATAATTTGCTGCTGAAATGGAATACACAAGATGAAACAGTAAAATCAGCTATGATCAAATGGGCACAAGACATAGGTCATGACATTATGTTTGATGACTGGGAAAAGTTATGGAACACTGGTGTTAAGTTTACGGCTTGTAATGCTTTGAGAGAAAACATAATGAAAATGATCTATAGGTGGTACATGACCCAAGTCAAACTTGCAAAAATTTACCATTTGCCCAATAATAAATGTTGGAAATGTAATGAGACTGAAGGTACTTTCTATCACCTTTGGTGGACCTGCCCGAAGATTAAAGCCTACTGGGAAATGATCTATAATGAAATTAAAAAGGTCCTTAAATGGACATTTTCTAAAAAACCAGAGGCTTTTCTCCTGGGCATGGTGGGCCAATTGGTGCCAAGGAAGGACAGAATTTTTTTCATGTATGCTACCACAGCAGCAAGAATTCTTCTAGCAAAGTATTGGAAGACGCAGCAGCTACCCACTCTGGAAGAATGGCAAGCGAAGGTGATTGACTACATGGGAATGGCGGAGATGACCGGCAGAATCCGTGACCAGGGGAGTGAGACAGTGGAAGAAGATTGGAAGAAATTTAAAATATATCTTAAAAATTGTTGTAACATTGAGGAGTGCTGAGATGTTATGGTGTTAAGAAACAGAGAATTGCAGCTGTAAATCATAAGTTTAAGGAAATTATAATGAAGATGAGTCAATTAATTAAATGGAGGGTTGCTGTGAAAAGGTAAAAATAAGGATGCAGAAAAAGGGAGGTATGGGGGAGTCCGGGAAGTAAGGTGAAGGAAAATAAGTTTATGAAATTATACATGTTTATTTGTTTGTATGTTTTGTTCTGTTTTATTGTTTGTTTTTAATACATGTTTGGAAAATTAATAAAAATTATTAAAAAAAAAAAAGAAAACTCTGATAATGCCCCTTCCTTAACTGGATGGAAGACATGGAGACACGTGTCGAGTGTGTGTAGAAACTAGCCTTCTGTACAAAAGAAACATTTATATTCACTGCTCCACTTCTGTTTCCTCTTCCCTCCACCCCTAATCTTCTCCAAAGGTTTTCCCTACCCTCTAGAGTTGATTATAAGGGTCTACAGGGCAGAGAAGATGGGGGAAAGTTCTGTTCTGCTAGCATGCATCTTTTCAGCTAGCAGAACAGGACCATCACGACCAAACAGGACCCTGTATCTGTATTGGCTTTGGAATTGCTTTTATTGTTGATGTGTTTGTTCATGTTTTTCCCGTTAATCACTTTGGGATGTCTTGTGGGAAATGATTTATACGTGAATGAAATCAATCAATAAAATTATTTTCTGAGAAATGTTAGCCAAGCGCTAACTTCTACCCATGTTATTTCTCTTTCCGCAACATCTGGGGGGGAAATCTGGAGCCTAGCTTAGCTTAGTCAGTAGAGCATGAGACTCTTAATCTCAGGGCCATGGGCTCAAGCCCCATGCTGGGCAAAAGATTCCTGCATTGCCAGGGGTTGGACTAGATGACCCTTGTGGTCCCTTCCGACTGTGCTTCCATGATTCTCATGCATGTAACAAACTAAAGACAACCCTTAATGAAGCAAAAGGAAGCATGGTGCTGGCAGAGTTCTGAAGATCCAGCCCAGCTTTTGAGCCTGCCTGTGCCAAAGATGAAACATGTCCGTTTTGTAATGGAGGCAGATACATGAATGTAGCCATTTACCTCCATCAACAGTATATCCTTTGAACTCTGTGTTTGAACCTTCGGGTGCTGGACTTTCACTGCAACGGTCCTCCCATCGTGCAGCACAGCCTTGTGGACTTGGGCCAGGGATGCCGCCCCCAATGGAGCATCTTCAAAACTTATAAACAACTCATTAATCTGCAAGGGGAAGAAAGAAGGGAAGCTGTCAGCCTCCTAAGAAACAGCCTGCAGGTATGCTTCGGATGCAGAGAGACATTAATTACCATAGACAGACGGAGAGCCCTGACAGCCTAGGGACTGCAACCCAAGCTTCCTGTTCTCTCAGTATATTTCAGCCAGAAAAGGTGTGTGCCTTTCAATAGGCAATCTTCTCGGCGAAAGTGGGTAGTCAGTCTGGGTAGGGTTGTCAGCTTTTTGCTCTGGCAGTGCTCCTGCGCTTTCAGCAGCTGCATGCCAGGAAAAAAATTATAGTAGGCGAAGTTTTTCCTGTCACAGCAGCTCCATAATGGGGTAAGCTGTAACTACTGAATTCCTTCCTGGCAGTTAGCAGGTAAAATCGCAGGGAACGATTTAACAGGCAGAAGCTACACTGCATTTAGAGTAGCCATGTGAAGATGTCCACAAAAGCTACTGAAGAGGGGAAGCCCCATCCTCTTGCTTTCTAGCCTCTTGTTAGGCTAGCGAAAGAAAAGAAAGGCTTCAACGAAGGAGGCTGGCAACAGAGGAACAGAGCACACCATCTCTCTTCTGACAGCCCTCTGCATTTCCATGCTGTTTGTGAGGCAGGGGGGTCTCCTTTCTTCACAGCCAGCACAAAACCCAAGCCAGCTTCTTGGAGAAGCTCAGCAGTGGAGCATGAACTTTGCATGAGGCTTATCAGACACCGGTGGGGCTCCAGTGCAGAAGCTGCCCTTCAGAGATATTATTGTATAGCTGGGGAAACCTTCCAGGGCCATCTTGCCTCCCCTCCACAAGCCCAACCCAATGTTAAAGCAAAAATGGCCAATAGAGTTAGCTTAGAAGAAGACCGCCTGCTCCCTGCTTACACAATATACAAATCTCACCAGGGCCAGCAGTCAAGGAACACATAATTTATGCAGAAATGGGGGGGAAAAGAAAACAAATGGAATGCTGGTGCATTTTTATATCCCACTTTTTTACACAGTAATTAAAGACGGGAGCTGCGGCAAGCCGGCAATTAAATATGAATAAAACACTTTTAAGCAGAGCCTACATGCAAAGCATTCAACAGAAATCTTTTGTGTTGATGAAGCTGCGGGGGGGGAGGGGAGAGAGAAACACCATCTCTGAAGGAGGCCTGCATGCCTACATGCAGCTGCTGACAGCGACTTTCCCTCCCCTCACACACCGCTGCCTCTCTTTCCCCATCGCCCCCACCCCCACAATAACTATTACCAGCAACAAACTGGCACATTTGCAGCAATTAGATTCAAACGGAGTCTCAACCGCCTCCAGTAATTCACAGGCAAGGCGCCTTTTATTTATTTATTTTATTCCTCCGGCGGCAAAATCAATTAAGTAGAACAACCACATTTGAAAACGACTAGTTATGTGTTTTTTAATTACAGCAGATCCATGATTCAAACCTTTTGACATTCTTGCCTTCAGAAAGGAATTTCTTTCCCCTCAAACAGTTTACTAGATGTTGTTTCTTCTTCTTCTTTTTCACTTTCAGCTTTATTCATTTCCTCACCAACACCGCTAAAGCAAATGATTGATTCTGCGGAGAGTCAGATCATGGCTTGAGGGAACTACTCACGTGGGCAGGGTGCTGTTTGGGCGGGTAAAAGCCGCAAGTGACTTTTACCTACACCTGAAACCCCTACACTTGAGTAAAGGGTCCTGCCTCAAATGTAAAGCAGAGAGTATTCCACACATTTGTTGTCACACCAGGCTGTATCCAATGTTAGTCCTACTCAGAGTAGACACTTTGGATGATATCCAGCTAAGTTCTACTTATAGACCACTGAAATTAATGAACCTAAGTTAGCCATGCCCGTTAATGTCAATGGGTCTACTCTAGCACTGGATACAACCCAGTGAAATGAATGGACCTGCCTAACTTAGGTATATGAATTTCAGCAGGTTTACTATGAGTAGAAATTAGTTGTCTACAACTCAACACTTGGGGTACAACACTCTGAAAATCTCAGCTTGCTTCCTTTTTTTTTTTTTAACTAAGCCTCTAGCCCATAGGTTTGCAGAGGTGAATTTGAAAAGCATACAGGCTGTAATGAAGTAAAACAAGATGGTGAACTGAGCATCCACCGGGCATGGATAAATGGAATGTAGGTACTTCCATGGCTTCTTCTGCCTCCCCATAACTCCTAAATTATATACTCAATTTGCATAGGGCATTCAGCACACACAGAGATCTTTTTGAACTACCAGAGAACACTAGCTGCCTCCACTGTGCATTCTCCTCAGTATTACTTTGGCACAACAGCTTCCATTTTGTCTGGAAGTGATGAGTGGAGAGATCTAGCAAGCTAAGGCCAGATGAAGTTTCCCACCAAAACCCTCCATTACGATTGCTGGCGCTCGGTCTTCTTCCAGTTCCTAATCTAATCAAAGCAACACATTGGCCTCGTTTACATTTCACTTTAAACCAAAGTTAAACATATGGTCTAGAGGTGAAAGCAGAGCATGCTAGGCTAAAATCACGGGCGCTTTAGTCCTCCCTGCTCCTGCTGTGAACTAAGCCGGCACGGCCATTAGGTGGGGTGAAGCCATGGCCTCAGGCAGCAGACGTCTGTGAGGTGGGGCCCCAGAGGCATCTCCACCTGCCCTGCCCCCTCCACAACCAGCAGAAAAGCATCACCAGCATCACAGAGTGTGCAATATCTCACCTGAAACCAGTGAGGTCTCACCTGAAACTGATGCCAATGCTGGCATCACTTCTCCACTGGCAGCAGAGACAGCAGGCAGGGTGGCACAGGCAGTGGCTTCAAGTGGCAAAACAGGACATGTTTGTCCTGTTGTCACACCTGAGCTTGGGTTTATTTCTCTCCAAACAAACCATGAGCTGTTACCACTATTTGTCCTTGGCTTAAAACGTGTTGCTTGTTTGAGGCAAACAAACCACGAGCCCAAGTTTGGACATAATGTCATGGTTTGCCTCAGCATTACGTGTAAACGGAGCCAGTAGTGACTACTTCACTACAGTGATAGACCATAAGAAAAGTAAGCATAGGAAAGCCAGGAAAGGAAAGAGCTCAGGCACCAAACAGGATTGGTGGAGTCTCCAGGAACTGAAGAATGGTGGGGAAGGGGGAGATATAGAAGCTACATGAACAGGTGTGCTGCTGAGATAACACAGCAGTGTGAGCTGCAAGACCCCAGCAGAGCAAATAATTCTCTCTCACTCTCATATACTGTCTATATATTCCAACACTCCCCAGTGCACCAGCTTCATAATGTGGGCCACTGCTTTTTTCTTTGCCACAGTATGGGCTTCCTTCCATATCCTCACCCTCACCCCATTTCTGCAACGCAGAAGTGCTTGAGATAGCCTGGAAAGCATGGTCTCAAACTCTTTAAAACTGTATCTTGCACCACCGGAAGCCACAGCTCCAACACAACAGGGAGGAGGAGGAATGTATAAAGTCCACCTCCCGCTAAATCAGGGGCAATGCTTCTGCCCTGTGACACAGAGCCTGAGACCCTGGAGAGCGGCTGATGAACAGAGTAGACAATATTGGGCTACATCAGGAGTGGGGGGGCTCAGATCTGGTCCTCGAAACCTCTTTATTCAGCCTGCAGGGTTCTCCCCAGGCCACACCAATCAGTTCTACACCTTGCTTGAGTGCTTTTGCCTGGCTGGAATATGCGCTATATGGAATATGTGGTAACACCTCTTGGTAGCCTGGATGGAACATGGAGTGAAGGATGCAAACTTTTGACTTCTGCATGGCCGGAATGTAATCTACTGTCACATGCTCCGCTTACTTCTGCCCCTGGACCTAGACACCACTGGCATGCAGCTCTTGTGAGGTTGCCAATGGCAGTACGTGGGCCTCGGGCTGAAAAAGATTCCCCACCCCCTGAGCTTGATGGACAAATACTGTAAGATGCTATAAAGCAGCTTCCTCTGTTACTACACCAGGTCTCAGGGAGCTTCTGGAGTTTCCTAAAATCCTCCCGTGAAGGAACACCACCAGAATGTACCGACCCTGACCCTATTCCAAACTATATATTGTACTCAGCACTTGAAATTAAAGATTTATTATTCCACAGGCTTTTGCAAGACCTAGGCTTGTTGTGGCAGCAAATGTCAAGCTACAGCCACTCTAAACTTTAAACCTGGGCAGTAAATGAAATCCTCTAGTTCCCCCATCAATTTGTGCATTCCGTGCTCAGAAATCAAGTGTTGCATTGTTACCCTAGGAGTTATTAAGACAGCAGAAGTTGAAAGATTAGATTTATCGCAGCCGATAGTGGATTATGAAGAATAATTCATCATACGTCAGAACAAACAGCCCACAATTTATAGAAGCCGGCCTGAGCCTGTGAAATCTGATTGGACTTCTTCTTGACTAATGAATGCAGAGCTTAATTGATGAGACCCTAACTTGGCTGTCAAAAGTGCATATCTATTAGGTATTTTAAAATAATAATTTTCTAACATGTGGGTGATACAGCTGCTTCTCACCCCAAACTGAGACGCTGTACAGAACGTCTCTCTAGATAACAGCCCAGCTGGATGAGACAAATACCATTTAGTTCAATATCCTGTTCTCAGGGTGGACAAGTCAAAAGCCTATGGGCAACCCTTAAGTAGGGACTGAGTGCAATAGCACTTTCTCTGCTTGTGATTCCTGGAAAATGGTATACAGAGGCAAACTCTGACACCCTGGTACCTTCATTGCTTGGGACCAGGGTACCTGAAAGGTTATCTGACCCCTTAAATAACAAACTGATCACTGCATGCTGGAGTGAGGGCCTTCTGCAGAAACAATCTTATCAGGAGGTCCGTTCTGCCCAATGTAGAAATCGGGCCTTGTGTGTTTGGGGGCCTATCCTTTGCGATGTCCTCCCCTTGAATACTAGACAGGCATTCTGTTTTCTTTTCAGCACCTATTGAAGACCTTCCTCCTTCAGCAAGCCTTTTAAGCTGAGATCTTTCCCACTCCATATCTGTGCTGGGATAGTTCTTA